TTAAAATTTCCGATGGTCAACTAATGTATTAATTTACAACAAAAAATAAAAAAAAAATTGAAATGTTATAACATCATGATTCATTATACGTCTAGCCGATATGGGCATGTCAAATATGTTTTGTTAGATTAGTCGGGTTAGGAACGCGAACACGCATTAATGGTGTCACGGATGAGAGTTAAGGGATGGATGTGACTATAAGGGTGGAGTCTATGATCTGTTCCACCTTTCGTGAGGGTATCGTATGAAGACAGCGACAGCGACACAGGGACGGGGGTCATTCTGCGTCGCCCATTAATGATGGGGTCGTGGGAACGACGCCCGACTGCTTGTGGTTTAAGCTACCGGTGATTGAAGTTTTTGTCCGAGACTACCTGCCCCGGTGGAGGAACAGCGAGCCTTGCTCTCCCTTGACCTTTCTTGGTGCCAAGGAGTCTCTACCCTTTCTCTTGTGCACGTTACCCCGCTCCTTCCCTAACATTCGGGCATTCGATGCTGCGTCGGGACTCGGGACGTCGACGTATTCCCACGCTCCTCCCAGTCTCTCACGCGGAGGAGACTCAGACAGCAACGTCTCGCTGACCTTCTCACCCCATCAGCTCTGTTAGATTGACGAGATGGGGAGTAGACTCATAGGGATACCAGTGGTGCAGTCGATATACATTTCTCGCTATTGGTGTAATGATGAGAGCGAGATGAAGATAAAGAGGAGGATGGATGGCTTTTGGTGAGTGGGAGCAGCGGCGCAAGGGGAGTCGCTTTCTGGTGTGGGTTACCCTGTACTTGATGCAGGGTCCTTTAAAGAACAAAAACACCATCTCCGGTTGCTTCTTGTTATGTCTGAAGCCTGTGGAGCTGCTCCCTCCGTCTCTCTAGTTTTGTGGATCGTCTCTCCTCTTTGCTGTCTTTGGCTTCTATATCAGAAGTAGAAATCTTGTAGGTGTTTGTTAGGAGCTTCATGCGGTTCTGTTCTTCTTCCTTCTTGTAATTGTTTTCTGAGTGCTGCTATTTCTTTCTCTTTTTTCTTTTCCTTCTCAGAGTCTAGCGGAGATGAGATTTGGCTGAGAGAAAGCGACCGACGGGGGAAAGGATGGAAGTAAAGGGAAGAGTGCAGTGAGAGATGTGCATGAAGAATGAACAGAACTCTAAAGGGTAAAAGTCGAAGAGAAGTACAAAAGCTGGAGAAATGATGGTTATGCGAACAGCATAGAGAGCTTTCATATACGATAGTTATCATCTCTTTCCTCGTTGGGGCTGTGCTTGTGCTTGTGCTTGGCTGAAGAGCTGGCGAACCGGTGGTGGAACGGATCTGTGGCGATGGGAGGGATCGATCCCGGGGTCGCCTCTGCCACATCGGTCCCTGCCCTCCATCTCGGCAATCCCAACAGCGTCGACGACCACCGCAGCCACCACTTCGGCAGAAGAGACCAAGAGCCGAACACCACGGCTACGACCACCAATAGCAGCGGCAGCAACAACCATCCCAACGACGACGGCGGCACTGCCGAGGACCAGTCCGCCGGTGGGCTCGAGGCCGGTTCTGTCGAAGGAGCCAGTAGCACCGCCGGCCGCCGGCCGCGTGGACGGCCGCCCGGGTCCAAGAATAAGCCGAGGCCGCCTATCATCATCACGCGGGAGAGCCCCAGCGCGCTCCGCTCGCATGTCCTTGAGGTCGCGAGTGGGACCGACATCATGGACGCCGTAGCCGCCTTCGCCCGTCGGAGGCAGCGTGGCGTTTGTATCCTGAACGGCAGCGGGGTCGTGACCGACGTCACGCTCCGCCAGCCCGGTGCGCCGGGGGTCGTCACCCTCCACGGCCGCCTCGAGATCCTTGCTCTTTCGGGGGCTTTCCTGCCAGCGCCATCACCACCCGGGGCCACCGGGCTCACAGTCTACTTAGCCGGCGGCCACGGGCAGGTGGTGGGAGGCAATGTTGTGGGCGAATTGGTCGCGTCGGGCCCCGTGATGATGGTCGCAGCCACATTCTCCAACGCGACATATGAGCAATTACCGCTCGTGGTCGAAGAGCCAGCCACGGCGGTGGCTCCACCGAGCACAGAAGGATTGCCGCAGAACCCGTGTGACAGTGGAGTTGGCGTTCGATCGTCGTCGCAGCAGCCACATGGGGGATGGGATCCAGCGGCGATGCCACTGTACAATCTGCCGCCAAATCTGTTGCCTAATGGTCCGATGCCCCATGAGGTTCTCGGCGCTTGGGCATCTGCTGCCGCTCCTCGGCCACCTCCGTCCTACTAAGTCCCTACACTTCTCCTATCTATATATATATATATATATATATATATATATATATATATATACATACATACATATATGTTCCTATGTTTGTTGTACCTTTGTTATTGTAGTGTTCTTCTTGTTCATCATCCTCATGTCAATGCCATTGCATGATCTCTCTCTGCAGTAAACATATATACTGGAGTTGGAGGTTCATCAATTTCAATAAACAAATATTCTATATCTACTCACACTAAATTCATCATCCTCATGTCAATGCCTTGTTCTTGTGCATGATCAGTTGGATGCTCGTTTAGGTACAAGATGATGAAAATTTCAAATAATTACGATTATTTCTGAGATCTTCATCTTTGATGTTTCTTTCGTGCAATTACTCGAGCTCGTAGAAACCGTGCAATCTGATTCTGACATGAAACAACTTGCAGTCTCAATGAAACTGTCCATTTGATGACTTCTATCACACCATCGCATGACAAGTTCACGGATCCTACTGTTACCAACTAAGCAGGGTTAGCATTAGGATGGTGACTGCAGCTGTGAAGGGAGATTGTTTTTGGTCTCTCTCGGTGCACTAAATTCTCCAAGCTGTTGTTTCAGCTTCAGGTTTAGGTGAGGCAGTTGGGTATTAGTAGGTCATTCTTTCACATCAAGACAATTTTGCTTGTCTTCTTCATGATCACTAGGGGCCATGGGGACATCAAACAAGAACTGCTTGCACTCTTTTGTGGCACGAATCCTGCTCCATTTCTTCCTCATCTGCCATCTGATTTTGTTTGGTAAAGACTGCTCGTCTTGCTTATGGCTTCTCTGCTCATGACGGAGTAAAACATGATCATGAGCAGGAACATAAGTTGAGCTGGAAGAAGCTGTCTTGCAGCACAAAAGTCGGTCAATCGGCATGCGTGGCTGTGCTACTTTGCCTTGGTCTTGCTTGTTCACACCGCATGGATATATAGTCTTGTTTGTTCACAACCATGGTCACTCAACTCTGGTTGAGTTTCCCGATATCAGGGTCGCATTTTTAAGATACGAACAGATCTAATGTCCTTGTCGAAGGATCAGTGTTGTTGTCTTAGCTAAATGATTTATTTTTAGTTTGCTTATGTTCCGAGTAATGAATGTTTTTATCTTTAATTCGGAGTACTCCTCAAACTTCCATCCGGACTTGCTTTAATCATGTTAGATGTATCCTTGTCTTTCATTTGACACACAGATTAGTCCTTTTTGATGTTACGGCCTTTGTGCTATTGGTTGCTTGGTCTATTGCATTTGGTGCTGAAAATTCAAACTTGAGTTTTACTGGATGAGCAAACTGCAAGATGGCCTCTGCATTCTTGTCACACACAGTTCATTGAGTTCTTGCTACTGTGTGCGCATATGTATAACTCTGGACATGCAACACAAATTCCTTTATGTTTTGCATTGAGCTACATCAAAGGTAATTCGACTTAGAGAAAATCATGTATATGTATGTAGCAACATCATTTCTGGTTTTCTATTATCTTGAATTCTTAGCTTTGGCTTGGAAGCTGCTTGAAAACTGTGCTATGCCTGTTTGTAAGTTTATTATCCTACTACTGAAGTGCTAAAAACTATTCAGAATTGCTCGAGTCGAATTTGGAGATGATCGAGTTGTTGTGTTATATTATACTGTTAAACTCTTGAGATCACATGTGAGGTGTTTAAATGTTTCATACCCAACACATGAAAACCTTGAATTAAGTAGGGGATGAGAGTTCCAGGACTTGTTAAGTCCAACACCTCATGCTCTCATTAAAGTCAAGTTCCATGTTCAAAGTAGAGAAAGTGCTGAGAAGTTCCTCGAGTCCTTCAGAATGAAACATGATAATATCCAGTATTGAGTCTCATTTTTGTTCCAACACTTGCCTCTTTTCAACCCAAAACTGTGCATGATGTCAATGGATTGCCAAAACCTGTGAGATTATATATATAAGTATTGCATTTGTTCTTTCATACTGCCTCACAAATGCAACATACGGATATGTATATATTTATTAAAGTTTGTCGTATCATGATATACCATTCGATATGGGTGGTGTGTATCGATCCGAAGGATCAATATGAACAGTATATATTGGTTTGTTGTTACGTCTTACTATTTTATGTGTCACTATATATCGATACGTATCATATCGATGATCATTCAGTATATCGGTACGGACCGATAAAACGTATTTACCATCTACTATATTTTCTGTTATATTCAGTTCAATATGAATGTAGTTGGTTCGACCCCATGAAATGAGATGTTGCATATTTTTCGTCTTGATTTGTTGTTCTGTTGGCAACTGAAGGCAATAGGTCAGTCATTTTTATTATGAGAAGCATGAGTGCTTGTGACTATATACCAACATATACAGGGATTACTCGGGTTGTGAGGACTTTTTCCTTCCTCTTGGTCCAAATTGGAACTCATGTCGATTGACTTCTTACATCTATGTTAGCCGATTTGATCCTTAGTTACTTCTTTTGTTCTGCAAGAAACTAATTAGATACTGAAGCAGTTCCTCACATGAGAACAGCCTGATCTATTTAGATATTGGAGCTCCACTATAGATTTGATGCTGATGATACATCATTTCAGCCAAACATACTTAACAGTTGCTGAAAAATCCACAAGAGTTTATTCGATACATGACCATCACACCTTCAACCTAATTATGAATCAAAACATGAAATTCATTATATCAATTATTCAGCAGATTTGCAGTCAAGAGCTCTCATTGTACCCCAGAAAAATGTGATGTAACATCCATGATGAATCAAAATTGATCAGTTCATATGATGATCGTTTGCATCTCGTGTATGGATGGAAATCATGGAATAGCGTTCATGGGAGTGATGCAATCCCCCTTCACAGAAAATATAATTAGGTATAGATCAGTCAAAAAGAACAGGAAGATTGGCTAAAGATTTGGTTGGATACAGTTGATGTTCCCAATCAGCTTTATCACAGCTGATCTAATAAAGGGCTTCCTTCCTTTGCAAGAACAAACAAACCACCGTCACCTCTTGAGATCCTGAAATCCTCGTCGAGGTATGTTATCAGAAGCCAGGACTCAGCTCTATTTCCAGGCAGAGGGACTTTGAGAGGTGGCTGGCCAGAGATGGAACGAGTGACGTTTGCAACAGCCTCTTGTACTGGGTTCAGCGTCTGCTGAACAGGTTTCAGGTTGATACTCTGCCCAAAGATATCAAACTTCTCCGGCAGATCCAGTGTTGATGATATCTCCGGAGGCTGAAAAGTTCCTTCCTTGAACTGGACCTGCACCGGCATGAACAAGCTTGAGCTTCCTCGTGAAAAAAAAAGCAAATTTTGCTACCACAACTTAACCTTTGTGAAAAAAAAAACAGCAGAAAAGCCGATCAAGTTACCGAAAGGAGAAAAAGACACACAGTTGGCAGTTGCAACATTTAAACAATATATTGTATGGAAGCTTTTATATGGGTGCGTCATGGATGGTGGACGATATATCCTCCTCCTCTTTTGAACTACACATATATCATTGTGAAGCATCAGAGTGCTTCCTGAGTAGTCTCTACTTGTTGAAACTTCAACACCACTAAGTGGTTCAATCACCAGTAAAAAATCGGAGAAATGCTTTAGAAGATCAGAAGAAAAACAAATGCTCGAGCTGCCTGATCAAATTTAGATCAAACTGAACATATTAGAGAGGATTCTCAAGGATTCGAAATAATCAATACACAAGAACCTGTCCGGTTGAAATTAATTTTCCTAGTTGATATACAGGAAATCATCACGAAGAGGTTTCCCATGGAGTTATTCCCATCACCAACATGGCCACATGATACAAGAATTTCAAGAAGAGATTCATCAATCAAGTCAGAAAACCATCTTAACTGGAAATATTTTTTTTTTCATAATTGCTTGAACTGTAGTTTCCACAATTTCAAAATTCAGCTCATCAAAAGAACACTATTCCTTCCAAGGGGCATCAAGATTCCCCAAAGGATTCCTTGCTCTAAAGTTGATACATGGAGCAAAATTTCAATTTAAAATTAATTTTGTACAGTTTCTCAAACCATGAAATCATGAAAAGGTTACAAACATGTTCCTTAATCCATTTTTTCAAGAATTGAACATTAACAGCAATTCCAACAACATGCAAACACTACAGGTGCAGTTTGCCCTTCTCTGGAATAGTATTCACAATTGACCAGTCTGTGTTTCTCCAACTAAAGCAAATATGTACAATATGTCTATGTTGTGATTTTTAAGAGAAATACTAGTTACTTGAAGGGAAAAAAAGCATAATGAGAATTCACTTGTGACTAAAATGAGGATATCAGTATTCTGGATAAAACAAGGGATTCAACATAGTAAAAAGAAAATCACATTCCAAAGTCATTCCTCAATCCATTGTTTCAAGAATCCAAACACTAAAAGCACTTCCTATTTAACACAGACATATATGCAAACTCAACAAGTGCAGTTGCTCTTCTCTGTATTAGTGTCACTAACTGAACAGTAAGTGTTTCTCCAACTAAATCAATATACTAAGTATGTCTAAGCTGTGTTTGATAAGAGCACTACTAGTTTCTTGAAGGGAAGAAAAAAGCATAATCAGAAATCACTTGTGACTGATATGAGGATACCTGGATTCTGGATGAACTTCGAACTCCAAAGGAAGCAGAAACACTAAAAGCAAAATTGGCAAAAGGGCTGGAAAGAGTTGTAGCATTCACAATTTCCATAGTCTTGCAGTCAATTGCTTGAGATATCCTTTTAATTTTCAACAATGGTGTTGTCCCCACTGCTAAAAGAGGTAATAGCTCAGAAGATGCTGTGTACCTAGAGCAAGTAAAAGACAACCTCTAATTAGCTAAAATAGTACACACAACATGAAGCCTTATATCTAATGCCATGATTCTTTCAATATTGAGACAATTATTTTGTTGAAATAACATAAATTACGTAGCAAAGAGGTGGCCTCTGCTGTTAATATGCAACAGAATATATATCTCATAAAAGTTGAGACGGATTCAGTGTAATGACCCAACGGAAACTTCTTCTTTGTAGCAAATTATTTAGAGGGCATGCAGCACCTACCCTTCAGGGTTCACATCAGCTACTTGATCTCATAGTCATTTTCCTGCCTAAAATAGCATGTTTCTTTCATATCCTCTCCTTTGTTACATCATGAAATTGTTGATTGATACGGATCATAGAACTCTGGTAATTGAGTGCTGACAGTTAACTATGCTTAGTGTAGTTGCTAAGCTTTAATCTTTCTACAGCTCATATTTGTACTCAGCAAGTTGCATATTCATCTTTAGGAATCTGAAAGGAACCTTCAAGATTATCCTATATCATGTACTAAGGATGAATCAAATTAAATGAAAGACCCTCTTCAGGTAGACAGAAAAAGTAGAGAATCATGCCAATATCTACAGGTTACAGTAACCACAATTCCATCTTCGTTTCCTCTACATGCCATAAATTTAACATATTGACATGCAAACCCATGTTCAACGTTGAACAGTCCGATTGACGCAGGTCCCTAATGTCTATTTTCTTGGTGACCAGGAATATTTCGCGAGAAGAAAACAACTATAATCAAGAACAGGACATACCAATTACTGTAAAATGTATTGTTATGCGAATTTAAATTACCGTCATTTTCTTAGCCCCAACGAGACTGACGAATCTGAATCCCTAAGGAACAGGAAAAGAAGGGAGAGAAAAATCCAAACAACTCACAGTAGAATCCAATTGCCATCAAGAAGCTCGGGGGCCTCCGTCGGCGCTGGAGTGGGATTTGCTGCCTCCAGCTGGTTGACCAGCTCCAAGATATCGGCCCTATCTTCGACCGATGCCCTAAACCCCAACTCCGTCCCATACAACGAGTCCACAAGGCACCGCTTCAAGTCCCCAAGGTTATCCTCGGAAGGAGTCGGGGTTCCATTTCCCGACAAATTCCCTGCTCCCCCGGGCTCTCGCCCCCATTCGTCTTCATCCACGGGAGGATCCGCCGGCGACGGCGCGTCGACCTCCGGCTCCGCCTTCTCTCCCCACTCGTCGGTGATGCCCGCCGCGAAGGACGCCGAGGCCCCCGGTTCGGTGCCCCATTCGTCCTCGTCTCTGGGGGGATCCGGCGCCGACGGCGGCTCGGCCTCTGGTTCGAACTTCTCCCCCCACTCGTCGGCGATTTTCGGTTCACGGTCTTCGCCTGGGACGGCGGAAGCGGCGGCGAAGGAGGACGATCTATGGATTTTAATGGCAGCGGAGGAGGAGGAGAGGGAGGGGAGCGCGAGGGTCTTGGATAGAAGTCGATGCGGTCTGTTCGACTTCTGAGGAGCGGCGGAGGAGAAGGATGGGAGCGAGGAAGGCAGGAGGGCGGCCATCTGGTAGCGCTGTGGTTCGTGTTCGGGTGGGCGGAATACGAAGCGGCGACAGCGGTGGTGGTTTCGCTGCCACCAAAAATATCTTCCCATTTATTCTTACATAAAAGGGAAAAAGAAATACTGGCTCATCTGTCTTGGCCCAGACAAAGAATAGATAATCGGGAGATTACGTTGGCTAATTAACTGGGTCCCGCAATGATATGCATGGCTACCGGATGGACCCGGCTTCGTAATGGCCCCGTGCGCTACCGGCGTTCATTTCCCATACGCTGTCTGATTTGTCGCACGAAGGACAAGTGCTGCTCGATCGGTGCAATGGCAGCATAATGGCAATGCATTTGGAATCTTCGTAGGAAATTTTTTGCCGCCCACAGATTTGGAATCCCGATTAGTTTGGGTGCTCATTGCATTTTGGCCACGCAAGTACTGCTAATAATGCACATTGGAGCTTAAAAATAAATAAATAAATAATAAATAATAAATAAAAAATTCACGAGACATACATCTTTGTTGTTATCATTAATTATCACGTTCTTGTGATCTAATAAATATACCGGATATAGTGTCTCTTATTATAGGAAAATGACAGGGTATAATTTGGTAGCACGCCCCCAATCCACGGCCATGATAGCACCAACATGGAGCTTCGAAACCGATATGGTGGATCATATTGGTGTGACACCTCGGACGAAATAACCATCCTCCCGTGTCATACAAGACCATGCAAGGTGTAATGTCGGGTACGAACTTTCCGAGGAAAGTTCGAGACGATGTCATCGGATATGAAGCTGCCCCTAGAAAGCTGACGATGGCATTGTCGGGTACGAAGCTACCTTGCAAAATTCAAGACGATGCTGTTAGGTACAAAGCTGCCCTACAAAACTCAAGATAGATTCATTAGGTATGAAGCTGCCTCGCAAAGCTTGGGGCGACGTCGCTCGGTGCTGATCCATGTAGGTCGATTGGTGTTTGCATGGAGGATATGGGTTTACCCCTTAAGGGATCAATGATTATTAATGAACTAGGTATGATCGACTCCTATGTGCAAATATAAAAACTCATCGCCTGGTCAACACTGGGGGAGGCTTTTTTCGAATGCTCAACTCTCTTTCTCTCATTTCACTAAAAACTAATTTAAGTTTTGAAAGGGTCAAGTCGAGAAATCATCCTCCCGACCTCGACCTATTTACAGGAGCCGAGTGATGGAGAGGCAAGTCGCTCGCTAAGAAAGAATGATGCGCTCAGTGAGGCAAGCTGCCTGCCAAGAGGGAAGCCCGTGCTCGGTCAAGAAATCCCCCTCCCGACCTCGACCTGTTTGCATGAGCCCAGCAATGGAGAGACAAATCGCTCGCCAAGAGAGAGGCAAGCTCAACGAGGCTTGAATCCGATCTGACCCGACGCTTGCCCTCTCAACTCGAGTGTCTATGTGGGCGGCTTTGCGCATCGGGGATTGGATCAAGCCACGATGACTTCTACCGACAAAAGGAAATAGAGGTATTAATTAATTTGTAAACTTTATTAAAAATCTAATTGATAGAATTTTAGATATAATAAAGAACATATAAAGCGTTCTCTGTTTCTTGAATAGATGATGTTATCCGATAGAAGAAATTGCACCCGTTCTCTGTCCAATTATGGCAGATTCGAGCTTAGTCTTCTTCGTCTTCCTCCTGGAAGCGGAGGTGCTTCCCCTCCGGCGTAGGCAGCCCCTTCAACACCAACACGCTCGGCGAAGCAGCCATCACTTCCTCTTCTCCTTCGATCTCGTCGTCGCTATTGTAGATGAACCTCGTGTGCTTCCCTGTGAATTCAGCCAATCTATGCTTCACATCCTGCACCCGCATCTTCTTCAGACCGTCGCACAAGCCATCCAACTCCTCCTCCTCCTCGTCGCCCGACGAGACGTCCGATTTCTCAGGGGAGTCGAACGTCAGCGTCCGGTTGATGAGGAGTTCTTGAGGACCGAGGCGTTCCTCTGCGCGGAAAGCCGACACAACGTGAACGAACTGCACGCACAACAATATATGGGAGATCAAAGGACGTGAAAACCCATGGCCAAACATGGAACTAAACGATGATTAAGATGTATCGAAGGAAGAGATAGCGGAGGGAACTCCGTGCAAAGGAAGAGGCGAGCTGTTCTCAGGATACCTTTATTTGGTCGTCTTGTTCTGGATAAACACAAGGCGATGCGAACCCCACGGAAGCAAAGCCTTCCTTCGAGCCATTCAGGTCGGGGATCTGCGGCGTATTGGCCGGCGTCGGGGCGAGAAGCCGCATCGGAGATCTAGCGAGGTCCAAGATGGAGGAGAACAGCGGCGTCGGATGCCCCACCGGCAGCTTATCGACAAGCTCAGCGTCTTCCTCAACCTTCTGCAGTAGCGTCCGCACCTGGCCACGGAGCACCTCCTCGCCCGACACGGGGGTTCTACTCGCTGGAACCCGGCTCTCGACCGACGACGACGAGGCCGTCTTCTCCACCAGTAGCCGCCCAGCGGCGAGCCCGACGACGGGCGAGTCGTTGGTGACGTCAATAAGCCCCGCCCGTTCCTCTCCGTTTCTCGATCTCGAGTGCGACTCCTCTTGCTTGCTTGCGACAGTGCATTCGGTGGCGGCCTGAGATCTTGTGTTCCTTCCCGTGGATGATGGGGTTTCCATTGCCTGTGACAACTATGAAGCCTCCAAGTCTTGGAAAGGAAGATGGAGACGCAAGAATGGAGGTGGGCGGAAGAAGAAGAAGAGGAGGGGGTATAAAAGATTTGAATCGGGAGGTCTACAACGGTAACATGGACCGTTGTAGGGGAGGGAAGAGGTGAGGAAGAAAGAAAGGATCTCTTGGTTTCTTTCCTTACGAGCAAAAACTAGACGTTGACAAGGATATAAACATATGTTGCAATATTACTTCGTTTGGATTGGTGTTCTACAATCATTGTTTGCTTACGCTTTAGACCTTAATTAACACGAAGTGTGAGCCTTTTTATTCTACTATAACAAGTATGTATGAATGAATCCTCTGCACGTAATCTATGTGAATTGCATATAGTTTGGTCATGACATGTAGGCCTGTTGAGAAGCTTGTTACATTGTGTGCATACGTGTCAAATCAGAAAAGTGCCAATGCTGTGGGAAACGCACATGAATTGCTAACGTGGCATGGAGATGGGTCCCACTTTGTCCATGAGTGGTATATCGTAGAGTCTGTCGAAGCCCGGCCCATGTCAGCCCAAAGCTTAGCGTATCCGTCCCCGTTTCCTTAGCTTGTGCTACGGACTACATGTTGTGTAACAAACAACACAATTCTCTCTCTCTCTCTCTCTCTCTCTCTCTCTCGCGTGGTCCTTGCGAGAGATTGCTCTCATCGGAATACCAGTGGATCCGCCACTTTGCCTTCCTCCCTTCTCTTCTGTCATTCTTCGTTCTCCTCCCCCGCCGGAGATCAGTTCGCCAGACAGAGAGATTTACGCTGGTTTTTGGTTCCTGATCTAGCTTGAAGTCCCGATTCGTCTGCGATAGTGTTCGATTTCATGTAAGTATGTTCCACCTCCTCGATCGGACGTTTTTTTATGTGTTTTCCAATAGAATCGTGCTTTTTGTCGGGAGATATCTGTTTTTGTTTCCGTTTCGAATTTCGTCGGTGAATTTTTCAGTTCAAGATTTTAGTATATATATCCACGAGGTAGGGTTTTACAGCGAGCTTTGAAGGGAAATTGAGAATTGAGTTGTTTGGGTTGTTGACGTTTTCAATTCGGTTATTAGATTGGAGAATATTTCTCTTTAGAATTGATCGAGTGAGAAATAGGATGGCTTGAGAGGGAAAGAAGGAGAGGAAGAAAGGAGAGTCAAAGTAAGTGTTACGTAGAGTTAGAAGGAGAAGTTAGACAATGGGAGGCAGCGAGACGGATTCCAAGGGGCCGAAGACATCTGCCGTGCAGGTACTTTATTATGCTCTTGCAATTGCAAGTTTTATCCTATTCGATGGTCTGGTTTGAATCAAGAGTCTAAGACTTTGATTTTTATTTGTTTAATTATCTACTTCTTCTGTTTTTTTCTCCTTTCTCAGGAGCAGCCACCGGCCACAAGCTCCAATCCCAGTGCTTCACTCTGTCCTGACTGGTCTGGATTTCAGGTGATGATGGGAATTTTCTTGCTTCAGTGAATTGTGACATTTGGGAACCTCCCAACAGATCTTGTGAACTCATGACTTTGTATTTTATCTGACACCAATAGGCATACTCGCAGATTCCTCCACATGGCTTCTTCCATTCTCCGATCGTATCAAGTCCTCAGGCTCATCCCTACATGTGGGGACCTCAGGTGCTTTCTTCTATTACATTAAAAAAAAAGCCTTTTTTTTTTCCTCTCAAATTTCAGATGCACTTTTCTGACTCTTGGTTGCTGGGTTAGTTGTATATATGGGGAGTTCAAATTTGGGGAGACAATTTGCAATTGGAAAATGTAACCTCTTAAATGTGACAAAAGATATTTTTATCCAAATTTTGCTCGTTCCATATGAGGACAGATCTGTCGTGGAAGAGAAAAAGTCTGTTGAGAGTATTGATTCATGAACAAAGACAAACAATCTAGCACGAAGTTAGCTTATTTACTGCACACTGCTTCAGAATAGGGACATTGATTTCTTTCATTAAGTAGCACGCCTCTCCTTATGCCGATCCCATCACCAGCATTAGTCTACATGTGCTAAGTTCATTAATTTAAATGAAATCAGTAACTACATGTCTATGTATGTCTAGTGAATTTCTTTAACATTCTTGGCTTCTCATCTATGATGTTTTTATTTTGACTAGTGGGAGTCTTCCAAGTTAGTATGATTTTGTGGTATTAGCCTGGTTAGTCTGAGTGTAAATTTTAAGCACCTAAAATTAAAAAAAAAAGTTAAGAGTGAATATGGAAGGATGACAGTGGTGATGGTTTTGAGTGAAGTCAGGTGGGTTTCTCATGTTGATGTAACTTAATTATGATACACTGGTGAAATGTATTCTTAATCATCTTTTTTCTCCTTTTAGCACCTTATGCCACCTTATGGGACCCCACCACCTCCATATGTTATGTATCCTCATGGAATATATGCACATCCATCTACTCCACCGGTATGTCATTTTAGAACATGACTAAGCAAAAGACTTCTTACTTTTGAAATGCATGACTTTTTTTTTCAGTGCATTGCAAATGTTACTAATGACTTGCTATGCTCCTTCATCTGTGAGCAGGGTTTGCACCCGTTTAGTCCTTATGCTATGACTTCTCCAAATGGCAATGCTGAAGCCCATGTGAGTTCCCAAGCAAATCCACACTATAAAATTTGTTGTGATCTAGAACTCAGTATAAGGGTGGTGAGTCGTGTGATATGCTTTTGTATCTCACAGGGAAGCATACCTGCAAGCACAGAAGGAGATGCAAGATCATCCGAAGGGAAAGAAAGGAATGCAATTCAAAAATTGAAGGGAAGTTTTGGAAGTTTGAATATGGTAACAGAAAAGAATAAGAATGAGCTGGATAAAACATCAGGAGCGGTTAATGGAATCTTCTCACAAAGGTAAAGGCATATTGGACTGGTTAATTATTATCGTGATGTGCTGCTTTTATAATTGATATGATTCGATTGTTTCCAGTGGTGATAGCGGCAGTGAAAACTCAAGTGAAGGAAGTGATGCTAACTCTAAGAATGTGAGTCATTTCCTTTGTATTGCTTTCCTAATTGTTTATGGAAAATAATATAAACTGTACATTTTAGAGTTTCCTGTTGGTAGTGCATTCATAAGCTGTCACCACATAACAGAACCTGTGTTGTATTAGGTATTCTGTGTTTCCCATACATTAATGCAAATTTAACTGATGGCTACTGTTGTCAGTTGCAACATACAATGTTGCATTATTAAACACCAGAATGCTGAAGGTCATTTGAAATAATAGCACATTTAAGAAACAGTAATTATTAACTTTGTGTAGTTTTTCGAGCAGTTTTCATTAGTCAAATAAACTTTCTACAATGAACTTCAAATGTTTACATGTATCCTTAGATTAAGTTAGCTATTGTTGTATGGCATCTTCTAAGATCAACTGTTATAAAGTGGGAAGAACAAAATATCGTTTCTGAAGACCCCATTTTCGTGAGTCAAATTCTGGCAGTTGATGCCCAGTTATAATTTAATGTGTGTATATTCATTACAGATATCAAATTAGTGTATTCAGATTTTTTTGGGAATTATTTTTCTATTTTAATGTGATAACATGTGGACTTCAACCTCAGCATTTGCTGAAAGTATTGGCCGCTCAGAATTGGAGCAACAGTTACAGTTTATAGGTTACTTCGAGTAAGAATATTTGCGGACTTCAAATTTGTATATTCATTACAGATATCAAATTTGTGTATTCAGATTTTTTTGGGAATTATTTTTCTATTTTAATGTGATAACATGCATACTCCAACCTCAGCATTTGCTCAAAGTATTGGCCGCTCAGAATTGGAGCAACAGTTACAGTTTATAGGTTACTTCGAGTAAGAATATTTGCTTTATTAAATTTTGAGTGACAAGCTTAGTCTTTGCTTATTCATCAGGTCCTTTGGAATGAGGTCATGTTAGGTCATTAAAATATGGTCTGATATTACTTTGATTTGTTATACATATGAGAGAGGGCCCAAAACATCAAAAAGCTACTCTTGATGTTGTGACCTAGCAATAATTGTTATGAATAGCAACCTTAGCAGATGATGGAAAAATAGGACTTATTTAAGCTAACCCCTTATTATGAGGATGTTTGGCTGATTGTTTATTGTTAAACTCTGACAAATTTTGACTATGAGATTTTTTTCCTGCTGTCAGCCTTCTTTTTTTGCTAATTAAAGTCTATCCAATTTCTGTTTAAATTTCACTATTGAATTAACAAGTATATTTTGAGGCAAGCATGTTCTGTTGAAATGCTAGCAGTTGATTAAGTGTGGAAATGCTCTCTTTTATGGTTTGTCCATGTAGCTTGCATATTATAGAGATAATTTCCATATTATGTTGTTTGAAAACTATACTTTTGGTGGATCAAGCATTAATGTTGTGAGAAAATTGTATAGGACTCGGAACCAAAGACAGGTGGCAGACATGAACCTTTGGATGGTAGGCACTATAAATTTTTTGCCTGGTTAATTTAATGAATTTTATATTAATGACTTATCATCCATGTGTCTTGTAGAGACATCCCAGAATGGCACAAGTGGCATTGCTACTGCATCAACACAGACAAAATCACATCAGACAGTCCCTGTAATGCCTATTTTAGCAGCTGGATTACCTGGGGTAGTTGCTGGTCCCACTACAAACTTGAATATAGGGTTGGACTACTGGGTTGGTCCAACACCGTCCGTAAACCCTCCAGTATATGGGAAGGTTCCTGCAACAGTAGCTTCAGGAGCAACAGTTACTAGTACACTTGTTGGAGGCAACGAAAAGGTTGCATCAGAGATTTGGCTACAGGTTTTTTCTCAGCTTCACTCCTAGTTATTTGACTGTAATATATTTATTGTTCTGAGCTTAGATAAACATTTTATTTGATGATGAATAAATAATATCTGCAATTAGTGTTTGCAACTTTGATGCCCGTTTGACAGTGGAGGATCTTCACAAGTATCTCTAAATGCATTCCGTGATTGATAAAGATACTGGATCTATTCTTTGTCAATGCATTGGATACTTGGATTATTATCCTATTTATTGGAAATTAAAACAAGGGCACTTGAAGGATACTTGATGTTGACCCATGAATGACAGGACTTCTAGAGCTCTGTATTTAGTAATATCATTTTAATAGGTACTAGATATTGGCCAATTCTTATGGTCCATTTTAGTGTTACTATCTTTCTTGTTCATAGACTTACATGCACTTTTGTATTTTCATCCTCGGCATGTCAAGAGCATTGTGATGCGAAAGATAGCTTATTCCTGTTGAATAAGTTAACCATACTTGCATAATTAACATTCATCACTTACAATTAGGTTTTAACCACACATTTTTTCTGAATAAGCTTGAGAAAGCAAAAGCTATTATGTTTGACAAGTATAGTTTCATTATTATACCTTGTCATATCATGTCCTATTTTTAAGGATTCTTGTACCTGTAGGTTGGCTTTACATATATAAATTTCTGTTAAATGAACATACTCGGATAACTGTTCGTGCTGACATGTAACAAGTGAAGATTGAACCATTTTTTGTGTTTCTCTTCAAGACAAAGAGATAGTTCTCACTGACCTTGAAGTAAAAATCCAGCATTCCGTTGGGTCATAAAAACTATAACATTTCTGAATAAGGTATTTTGTTTTCTTTAACCGAGAAATGGTACTTTATTCCATTTTGTTGCATTATAAATAAGTTGCTGCCTTTTGTTACTAATTTGTTGCTCTGATGATCCAAGACTTATTTGCTAAAATTAAGATATAATGACTTAAACACCCTTCAAAATTCCCTTTTACTCCCTTTGTTATGGTTATCCTTTGTCTTCATATGCCTTTCCGATTCTCCAGAGCTTGTGATGCTACAGTTTATTTGCATTTCTCCTTTCCTTTTCCTGCACGATGCTGAACTTTGTGTTAATGGAACTGGCCTTTCGACATTTGTGTTGTTTAAATATATGGTTTTTGATGAATTCAGGATGAAAGAGAACTCAAAAGGCAGAGAAGAAAGCAGTCAAACAGGGAATCTGCACGTCGATCAAGGTTGCGCAAGCAGGTATTATGCATCCAGAGAGACTGGTAATCTCCAGGTTTGTAAGTGGCTGCCATTGGTTTAAGTTTCTACTTCCAGGTAGAGTATGAAGAATTGGCTCAGCGTGTTGAGGTTCTGAAGGAGGAGAATACAGCCCTCAGAGCAGAAGTAGATCGTATCAGGAAAGAATATGATCAACTTGTTGCTCAAAATGCCTCCCTCAAGGTACTAAACTTTGTCTTCACTTGCTTCCAGTTGTTCTGCCTGCAATTTGCAAGCAGCAGAAATGATATTGCTATATGCAGGAGAGGACCGGGCAGACAACAAAAGAAAAAGAAGATTTAGTGATAAAGGAGAGCAGCCAATATGCTGATGATAATGCTCGCAGGAGCTTGAGTTCTGAGCCACAAGAAGGGCAATCAGACTCTAAGCAGAGTGGCAAGTGAGATCATGACTGCTTCTCAGGCCTAACCCTGACTGAATCATAACCATGAATTCTTCACAGATTGACATAAAATGTTCCTTGCCTGATTGTCTTGATTGATCTTTTAGCAGTCAAGGCAAGCAGCATATATGGCTAAAATCAGTTGCCCCGTCACTTAGATCAAGGCTAAGGCTAGGTGTTTTTGTTCATTCTATATGACATGATTACTGCTTGATATGGAATCGGAGGTTATATAGTTCCAAGTGTTGTGCTACAGCAGGTATAGAATATTGAGTTAAATAACAAAACTGTGATCAAGTTCTATGTTCTCCTTATTGGACAGAATTTATGAAGCTTGTGTGTATTTCTTTTCAAGATAAATGAATCCTAAATAATTTGCTACTACCGGGGTTAGGTCTACCTGTATGAGAAGCTTTTGGTGGAATGTGAATCAGCATCAGCCGCAGTCCCAACTTTGTTGCAGATTGTAACAAAGGAATGATGCTGCTGTCTCAACTTGATGAAAAATAGAAATTTGTTTTCTCTCTTTTCTCTTCTCATAAATAATTTGTCTGGTCTTTGTTGCAGTGGGGTGAAGAATTTACTGTTTAGTTCTGGTCGTCATTGATATCGTTTCAACCTTGTTTGCTGCATTGTGTTGACCAGCCAAGTGTTGACTTTTGCTGAGTCGGATGAAGTCAATGGTCAACCTACACCGCAAATGTGCGAAGACCAAAAGTTTTATGGACCAAACAAGCCGTATTAGATGATGAATACAACGGACGGAGGAGACCTGCTAAGGACCTTCTTCCTCCTGCGGCAGCTCCACAAAGTAATCGCATGTTGCCAGCCTCCTCCACGGCTTCCACCTGCCACCTCTGCATCCTCGTGTACACCACCCGGTCCCCTTCCCCTCCCACGCTCGGCGTCGGGCATGACAGGGCCCACGTTCACGCCCACGAGAAGTGGTACGACGCCAACGCCAGCCTTCTCCACCCGAAATCCACTTCCGCCACCCGAAACCTCATCCCCGACGACACCTTCACCGCCGCCCCGTCGCCCTCCTCCTCCCGGTAGATCTTCGACCTCACTGCTTCTGGCCGCTGCTCGTCGACCCAATCGATGAACTCCAAGAATTGCCCCCGCGTGGCCACCTCCATTATCATCGCGTGCACGAACTCCGCCACCTCGCCCAACTCCATCGACGTGAGATCCGCGATTCTTAGATTCTCGAAGGTGACTGTCACGGCGTTGCCGAAGTAAGACTTCATCCACCACCACGCTCATCTTGCAGGCCCCGCGCCGGCCGGAGCCGTTCCCCATGCCCTTGGCGACCGTCTGCCACGGGAATGCGGTGAAGGCTTCGATCTTAGTCCTTTTTTCGGCTATGGCCGGATTCGAATTCGCCAGAGCTTGGATGCGACTGATATCAGCCGCGGCAACGTGGTAGATGCGGCTAACGAAGCGGTGATGGGATGGACCGTCAGGAGAGACGGGAGGAGGGAGAGATGATAAGGTGGTGTAGAGTTTACTGATTAGGGAGGGGCGATAGCGAGCCGGGCGGCGAGGGTGGAGCAAGGAGCGGCGGAGATTGGTTTAGGCCGTGCGCATTCGGCCCATGCGACGAGGAACATGCTGGTGTAGAAGGCGTCGGCGACGCGGTGATCGAACGCCAGGCCGACCACGACACCCCCACCAGCCCCCCGCGCGCTTGAGCTCGGTGGCCTGCAACGAGTCATCATAGCTAACACTGGATCGTAAAGCACGTCGCCGAAGTAAGCACTCTGTTCCTTCTCACCTGAACACTGAGAACTCCTCCATCGTTCCTGCGCACCAGCTTTCCTTCTACGTTCCTATCAGCATCATGGAGATTGAGCTCGCTGAGCCCCATGTTCGCATAAGCTTCCACGAAGGTTGTTGCAGAGCACTTCATACTCGCCCGAGGGCTTGTCGACGACTTCACCAACGACAGCGTAGTTTGTCCACCATGGCACCGATGGGCGTGAGGAGGTGGTGGCCGCCATCGCGTCGGGCTGTCGCTTTCTTGTAGCAGAAGAAGACGCCGATACGAGGGAGGCCTCGGAGATGGAGAGAAGATGGAGCCAGGGAGCCGAGAGGAAGAAGTACGTGAGGTCCAAAAAAGTGTTTTTTTAATTCATGAATTACGTAAAATGTTTTATCTGGGCCGGGAAACGTTTTCTTCGGGGAAACGAAAAGAAGATAATAGAGTGAGGAAGACAAAAAGGGACCACGGAACCTTCCCATTTTATTCACCAGAAGAAACTGCCGAGTGCCTCCTAATTATGACATCACGAAACCAACTCCTCTTCCACCCCCCAACCACACACGCGGACACACCGTTGCCTCCTCCCTCTCATCGCGCGCTCTCTCTCTCTCTCTCTCTCTCTCATCCTCCTCCGCTTCCTACCCCCTCCCATCGACATCGTTCGCGGGAAAGATGCGACCGAGGGAGTGAGTGAGGCGAAGCCCTCAACCGTTATACCCTAAAGAATCGGATCCCCCACGGATGATGTCTTCTTGCGCCGGACTGGGCCGACCTCTCCGGGGCCGCACCGCCGTGATCCGCCACCGGAGCTCCCGCCTCCTCCTGCTCCCGGCAGCCGCGCTCCGCGGCTCTGCCCCCCGATTCCGCTGCGTCCTCGACCAGGTCGCCGCGCGGCTGGCCGCTTCCTCCCCTCCGCTCGGTTCCGTCCTCGCCGCCGGCAACGCCATCGCCGCAGCCGCAGCGGCCGCCGGAGGCTCCGGCGCGAGCCACGCTGCGGTGGGGTCGACGCTCGCGCAAGTGGCCGTCACGGCTGTCGCCATCGCCTCCGGGGCGTGCCTCTCCACCAAGGTCGATTTCTTGTGGCCCAAGGTGGAAGAAAAACCTGGTGTGGTTCCTTTCTTTCTCCTCTTATATTTTCGCCTTCTTTCTTCTTTTTGTTGTTCTCAGTTGAGGCGTCGGATTTGCCGTCTTGACCTTTAGTTCGATCTTCTAGTCTTTAGAAGGTCACGGAATACGGATAGATGAATGCGTGTGATGTATCTTTTTGGTAACAGAAAATGGGAATGAAATGGTATAGTTGTGTGACTGTGGGAGGAATTTTGAGGAATCTATATCCATGTTTCATGTTATCTTGCAAATGTTTAGTTGTTCTTTTCTAGTGAATGAAGGTGAAGACAATAGGAAAAAAGAAAAAGAAAGTAAATAGATCAAGATCAAAGCAGCTGTAGCATCGGATCAAATATCCAATATCTGAACAAAATCCTTCATCATCCATTTTATGAGCTGAAACATGTTAATTATGGATGAAAGGACTTATCTATAATGGGTCCAATTGTGTTATTGCGAAGGACTTAATAGAAGACCTAAAGGCTTTTATTGTTTACTATAATGGTTTTGTTGATTTAGTTAGTTGGGGAACATTGAAGTTTGCTTGCGCTACACTAATGTATTCAACGAGTCTATAACCTTGGCTGACAAGCCTGGGTAATCTTTGAAAATTTCATCGTAATGGGGATAGATAATTGCAATTGTTGGCTTTCAACAAGGAATTCTTATTGAGCACGAGTCATCAGCTCGCATTGGCTATGTCTCTACCCTTTGTACACATCGCCTATCGCTCCTACCGATTGAATGGTCTACTGAAGTGTTCAGATCAAGGTGGTGGCCCGTGACGTCATGAGAAGTCCACTAAACCTTATCATTTAGAGGAAGGAGAAGTAGTAACAAGGTTTCTATAGGTGAACCTGCTGAAGGATCATTGTCGAGACCCATTGATGAGGACGACTGTGAACGCGTCAACGGATACCAGTTGGGCTTGTCTCGGCATCACCCCAATGTCGATTTGCCCTCGGGTGGGATGATGGCAGGGACAAACGACCAACCCTGGTGTGGAGAGCACTAAGGAACACAAACATTGGAGGCGGAGGGCCCTCGCTGCATATGGGAGGCTACTAAGCTGATCAATGACTTGAAGGTGCTAGCTAGTTTAGTTGGTAAAGACTTTGACAGCTTATCGTAAGGTCTTGAGCTCTAATCTCACCTTCACGATTTACCCTTTGCAAAAAAAAAAAAGAAACATGTAAGTCTGCTTATTCTTTATCAAGAAAATAAGTTTGATTACTGTCTAGATGAGAACTTTATTTATTTGGGGTGAAATGGTGCTCGAATTTGCATGCTAGGGAAGACTCTTGGGTTGATCATTCCTAGGAGGTGATGCTGTATTCATTGGTTTGTCCAATTATAAAGAAGATTGATTCATGACTATGCCTGAAAATTTGCATTTATGATGATAGGAGATCAGCTATACAGAAGTTTGGATATGATGAATCAGTTTTGCTATTGTTATATGGTGATCTTTACTGTCAGTGATAGAGGTATGATTTTATGGTGTCAGGTAGATTAAAGAATGCACGCTGGGAACAAGGAAAGGTGCCTTCTATTTATTTATCCTCTTCTCGTTGCCACCTTTCTTGTTGATCTATCTCTCATCCACCTTGAAGTTGCCAATAACAAATCGCATACTGCAATTTGATGCACACTTATGGCTAGAGGGGAAATATAGTTCTTTGCTTGTTTATCTCCAGAGGAATTTGTTACAGCAGTCTCTTAGATGAGCAGAAATAATAAGGAAAGAGAAGAGAAAAAAAAGACAGAGTAGACAAGTTTTGGCTTGTCAAAACCGACTTCCAGTCTTCTTTGAATCCTTCCAATCAGTCACGAGCTTTCGTTTACAGATCATCTATTCTTGAATGCTAATTAAAACTGCAGGGTAAGAAAACATTATGGGACAAAAATTTTTTCTTAAAGAAATCTACAATCTGACAAAATCCTGTCTGAAATGCATTAAATTCTTTTGCATTCTGGTAAACAGCTACAATAGTCAAGTCTCTGTCTTAACTAGGGACTTAAAAGATCTCCTGTAAATGGAATATCATGTTAAAATTTTAAATGAGAATCCAGCTTAACCCAGTACAGGACTTGTCTCAAGCTAATTCTTGCTGCATTTATCTCTCATCCGTGAAGAGTGAAGAATCTCTACCAATAATTGCATTGGCCATGATCTAATCACAATATCTTGGCAGACCATGGACATTTTGATTTATTATCACAGTCTCAGCAGAAATTTGTTCAGGATGCCTCATGGCAGATCACCATCCTAGTCATCTTGATTATATTTTTTAGGTTGATGACAAACACAAGAAACAGCTTCTTGGAAATTGAAAATTGTTTATAATCTGAAATTCTGACATGGCCTAAAACCGGACTTGATTCACACTAAGGCTCAACTGTAATTGTCCTAGATAAAAGTTTCTATGCTCTGACTTTGTAGGTGTGTTTCCCGTCATCTAACATAAGGTATTTGCTGCATTGCAGAAAATGAAACACAGTGGTCCCAATG